CCAAGGTCACACCATTGACAATAAAATTAATATCTACAAGAATGAGGCACATATTTTCTTTTCAAGATTTATCTCATTTCATCCCATAAGGTGATACATGGCCTATCTACACATTGTCAACTTCACTTAATTTCTTTCCAAAATTGTTTAGCAAAATCTTTCAATTTCATCGTGACAAATTCTATGGAATTTAAGTGTGAAGAAGAGCGACGGCAATGTCTTGAAACAACATGGCAGTATAAGTTTTTTTTGGGATCTGTAGACACAAATTTTAAAACATGAAGTGTTTAAACACATTTCAAAATTTATGTTACAAATGTCCACTGTTTAGTTTTTGGACTAAACAGTGTTGATTATTTGAATAGCAGGTTCTTATTTCCGATCTGTATTTCAGATCGTTAATTACACATTTTATACAAATGAAACCTCTGATTAATGAAGAACAAAATAAACAACAAATGACAAATTAAAAAAAAAGAAATATTTTATTGAGATTGTTATGGGTTTTGAACCCTCGAATACAAAATACAGTTTGGGTTTGGAACCCTTTACCTATTCATCGCCATTAGCGTAGGCTCTTCAGTTCTCTAGACTTCTCTTCTTCTTTTTTTTGTAACGACTTCTTTAGCTCTCAATTTCTTTCTCTCTCTCTCTCTGATCTTTTCCCTCTTTGATTTTTCGATCCCCCGGTCTTGTGTGATGGTCCTTATATTTATGGAGGGCCATCAGGTGATAGGAACGCTTCATCTTCATTTTGAATTTCAAATTGAATGATATTTGAATTTCAAATTGAATGATAACCCCATTTAAATTTTGAATAATAGCGCTATTTGATTAATCGTATATCTGATTAACCGAATTGATCTTTGGGGTTTCATCCTGTGTGGTGTCTTTGCTGTAGGCTCTACAGGTGTCATCTTTCGTAGGCTCCACGTGTCATTTGAGCATCTTGAATAACGTCGTTAAGATACGACGTTGTTTTATTTATACACTTCAGCGGAGCAAATTAATCATTTTGGGAAGTGATTGCCTACAACAATCTTATTGTAGGCTCTATGTGTGTCATTGACTGTATTTGAAATTTAAACATAAATTTGGTTTAAAATTTATGTGCCAACAGGATCAAATCGTCAAAGCCGCTTTGATTGGGATGATAGTGGTGATGGTTTGAAACAACGAGGCCATATCAAGAGGGCAACAAAGCTGATCGAACCAGATTATTGGATCTGTTTTAGCTCTGATTATAAAATTGATGTAGGACCAAGAACAAAAATGAAGAATAACCAAGAAGAAGATTAAGTGGAGGATCTCAATCCCAATCAAATAATTTCTCAATTCTCAATATTTAATAATTAATTTTCATCAAAATCTTAAGCATTTAAAGCTGTTACATAGTGCCTTATATATATATATATATATATTATAGGCATAAGCACTACCTAATTAAGAAATCCAAAAATAAGAATCCAAGGAATTGGAAAGTACTAATAAAGAAATAAAATTTATTAAAATTCTAAATCTAAATTAAATTAAAAATCACAACTAAATAAAAACTCTGAAATCCAACGTCTTTCTTTCTGATCCCCCCAGCACCATGTACGTGTTACTTCTTCACTTCACTCGAATCATTCCATATAAACTTGGAACTTTATCTGACATGGGCTAGCATTCATCTAATGTCTAGGCTTTTTTTTGTTAATTTCGATGAGTTGCACTATTAATATTATGATTTATATGCTGCACTGGTAGGTCTGAAATTAATCAGTGTATTTAGTAGTTTGCGAATCTTGCATTGAGGGTCAGTATCCTTATATCTTTTATTATATCATCTTATGCAGAGTTAGAGCTAGGAATTGTCTTGTAGTGGCTATTGTAAACATGACACTAAATGTTTGCCCCATAAGCTAACAAAAGAGTAATAATGTGCAAAAACTTTAATTAGTAATTTGGTGCTCAACATGCATGATTGTTGATACGGATATAAATACAAACATAATTTCAAGCTATTGAATACTGAAAAAAAAAGCTTAACAATTAAACTTATTTGATTTAAAGCATTGAAATTATTTAAAGATTTTGAGGTAAATTTTATTAAAAGCATAAAAAAAGAGGCTAAAGCATAAACGGCCCAAAGATTCTCACGAGTGCGAGAATCGACAAAATCAACAATTTGATCAAGATTAGGCATAACCTTCCTTAAAAGTCAACACAAATAAATAAAACAAAAAGTAATACTTTTAAGCCTTTACAAAGACTCTTATGCCGTGAAAGTTGTTTTGCACTCCCACCATAGGAACCACATCAAACACAACAAAACTAATAAGAACGCATTATGTCTACTTTTTTGGCCAAAAAAACTTTAAAAATCCTTGGTCACCTTATGATGGATAGGGATTTTCTCGTGTGGGGCATTCCAAAAAAAAAAAACCATTGGATGGAGCTCTATCAATCCAAATTCTTTCCATGAAAACTTCACTTATTCCCTAACAAAGCCCCATTAAAGGATTTCACCTCGAACCTTCCTTTCTTACAAACAAACCCGCGACAATGAATTGTGCATTTCTCCCATTATGTTACACCCATAAAGGAACTTGAGGAGGTACTACTGCATTTCCCAGTCTTTGTATGTTCTTTCTTACTCCAACGTCTCATAACAAACTACTAGCTCCCAAGACATAATCCACCATTGAACATTGTGTGTATGGCAACAAGAAAGAGAGAAGGAAAGATCCTCCTCAAAACTCTAGCTTCAAAACACTTACACCGTGAAGCTTGTGAATTTGGAGAAGTCATTTCAAATCTAATGGATGCCTTCAAAGTTTTAAAAACCGGACCAGTGAGCAAATTGGAAAAGGAATCGAGTGTACGGGTCACCGGTTCAAATGTTGAGTTGAATCGGAATCAAACCGTGATGTAATAAATATATTAAAATTATATTTAAATAAAAATATAAGTAATAAAATTATAAATTAAATAATTAAAAATATTAAATTATCTTAAATATTTCTTGTAATATTTTTTTTACTAAAAAATATAATAATACATTTTAAAATATTATTAATTTTAATTTTGGAAGAGGAAATCAAATATTCAATATTCCCTCCATATGACTTTAATTCAAATAATTTGATTGAAAGAATAAAAATTTTGGAGGGATATCAAAATTTCAAGTCTTCCTCCAATACATTCGATTGAATCCCACATGGATTTTTAGAGTTTTTTTGGAAGAATTTTTTTTCTTATAAAGAGGTAGAGACTTTCACAATAATTTCAAGTTCTTAATGGGATTCCTCACAAGAGGAGACTCTTAAAAGAGAGTTTCCAATTAAAATTTTCTTATATTCTTATATATATATATATATATAATAAGAAAGAAAGAAAGAAAGAAAGAAAGAAAAGAAAGAAAGAATAATAAAAAAAGTTAAAAGAAATAAATAAAAAAAAAATCAATTCAACGACCCGGCGAACTGTCCCCGGGTCGATTGGTTCGCCGGTTCAACCGTCGGTTTTCCCAGCTCTATCTAAATAGGCCAATTTTTAGCTTTGAACGGTTTAGAGGGTATATCCAGACTGGAACCCTGACCGGGCGACAGTTCAACCGGTCGAACCGGCAGGTCCGGTCCGGTTTTCAAAGCCATGGCTGTCTTTCCGAAGCCCTTGTCTATGAGATATAGACCTTCCAACGAACTCCGATTTTCCCAAGAGCATTCTTATTGGATGACATCACTCTCTTCCCAAATTTATCCCTCTTACAAGTAAACCTCAAATGACACTTGCCCAATATGTTGATACCTAACTCATAACACCCTACCCCCTTTCTCTTAACAGGGCTCACACCCAATCAAACAAGGTGGTATTTAAGTTCTTTCTTTTACTCCACCCCACACCTATGTTACATGGACTTGGGTATGGGTGTCGAGTGCAGGTATGTATCTAGAGATCGGATTCATCAAACTATAAATTTAAGGGTATGTGGACTTAGTAATAAAATGTCATATTTTTATATTTTAAATCAAATATGTGAGATAAATGATACTATATGTAACTTACAGTGTCAAAAAGACATTTATAGCAATTATAAAATAATATATACACATAATAATAGTGTCATATACAATTATATAAGAAGCATCCGACACATTCCATACCTTTGTCCAAGTGTCGGATGTCTGACTCGGATATTTGATTTATTTAGAAGAGTCCGTGTAACATATTCATCTTCTCAAGCTCTTTGCCACAAAAATGGAAGTGTACAAAGACATGAAATAGGTCAAAAAGCTTGACAACTTACTCTTAATAATAGTAAAAGCCGATCAACCCTTAGATAGGTACAACCTTTTCCATCATGTTTACCTCTTCTAGAATTGCTCCATAACCTAAGTATAGCATAGACATGAACATGCGACATGATACGGACTTGTGACACGGTGATTTTAAAAAAATGTAGGATATGAAATACTGAGGACACGTTAAATTTTATATTTTTACAAGTTTATTATATGTCATATATATGAATAATTTATTCAAAGATAATGAAAAATATGTAACATATCACTAATTACATTAAAATTCTATATATTTCAATGCAAAACAATTATAGAATATTGTAACACATCTTATAAATGTTTTGAAACGTGTTTACAGCGCATAAGTTGTGTTTTGAAAAATGTAGAATATTGTTATTATGAATGTATTTATCACTGATTTAATTTGTAACTATTCATTCTTTCAAGAGTTTTTTCTGCCAGCTATTATGAATTTAGTGTCTTATTCTTATATTATTCTATTTAGTTTTAGTTTGCTTAATTCTTAAATTTAATCATCATTGTTGCAGCTTGATTAATTACTAGTATTCTGCATGGACTTGCTTGTGCAAAGACTGTATTTTATTCTTCTTTCTCATTTTAGGTTTTTCCAAGTTCACAGGCTTGATTTAGCAAGTTTATTTTCTGTTTACTGGGGAGTTGGTACATTGATCTGCTATGCTATTATTTTTGTAGGTTCTTGCAAGCAATATGATATTCCTTGGTGTTGTAATCTTTGTGCCCTTTTCATTGGGACGGATTATACTTCATCATGTATCATGGCTTTTGTCTTCTGCTGCTAGTCCAGTGTTGTCAACAGTGATGCCATTTACAGAATCAGCCCTCTCCTTGGCCAATATCACATTGAAGAACGCATTAACTGCTGTTGCAAATCTGACATCTGATAACCAAGAAAACAGTGTATTTGGCCAGGTTACAGAAATGTTGAAAGCAAATGCTACTGGGCCACATGAAGTATCAAATAATCTGAGCACACCACTTTCAGCTGATATTGTGAATGGGGTATCTGCTGGAACATCACGGCTTTCTGATGTTACTACTCTTGCTGTTGGCTACATGTTTATATTCTCCCTAGTTTTTGTCTACCTTGGTATTGTTGGATTGATTCGGTATACTAAAGGTGAGCCTTTGACTATGGGGAGGTTTTATCGTATAGCTTCAATCGCAGAGACAATACACTCCCTCTTCAGGCAGTTCGTGGCAGCGATGAGACATTTAATGACTATGGTTAAAGTTGCATTCCTTCTGGTCATTGAACTAGGTGTCTTTCCTTTGATGTGCGGATGGTGGCTGGATATTTGTACCATAAGGATGTTTGGGAAGTCCATTTCTCAAAGAGTAGAGTTCTTCTCAGTCTCTCCATTAGCAAGCTCATTGGTTCATTGGGTGGTAGGGATTGTGTATATGCTACAAATAAGTATCTTCGTCAGTCTTCTTCGAGGGGTATAAATTTTGTCTGCTACTTTTTTTCATATTTCATCTTCTAAATATCAATCCTTCTATGTCTTAATTAATCCTTGCATGTTTTGAATAGGTTTTGCGTAATGGGGTTCTTTATTTTCTTCGAGATCCAGCCGATCCAAACTACAACCCATTCCGTGATCTGATTGATGATCCTGTGCACAAGCATGCTCGTAGGGTTCTGTTGTCTGTTGCTGTTTATGGGAGTTTAATCGTGATGCTGGTATTTTTACCAGTTAAACTTGCCATGCGAATGGCTCCCTCCATTTTCCCACTTGATATTTCGTAAGATTGCTCTCCATGTTTTAGGAGTATCTATTTTTTCTATTGCATTTTCAAGTTAGACATATTACCATTGTGTTTTCACTTAATTACTCACTACTGTGCATTGCAGTGTATCTGACCCATTTACCGAAATCCCTGCTGATATGCTCCTTTTTCAAATCTGCATTCCATTTGCTATTGAGCATTTTAAGTTGCGGACAACCATCAAGTCCCTTCTTCGCTATTGGTTTACCGCAGTTGGCTGGTCGCTTGGTTTGACAGATTTCTTACTGCCCAGACCTGAGGACAATAATGGTCAGGAAAATGGAAATGGGGAGCCAGCAAGGCAGGATAGACTACTTGTACAACTAGCTGGACAAGATCGGGCTTTGGGAGGACTTGTGGCCCCTGATGATTTGAACAGAGGCAGGCATACAACTGCAAATACTAATCTTGCTGAAGAGGATGATGGTGATGAACAATCTGACTCAGAGTAAGTTGTATGACAAATTATTATGACATTAGTCCATCGTGTAATTTTGATCCCTGAATTTGTTGCTGTTGATAACGAAGTTGATTTTATATTTCAAATTTACAATTGAGTATCAAATTTGTCAGTAATACTTGCCAGTTAGCACATAATCAATTGGTGCTTGGACAAGTATTGTATTTTTCCTGGGGCCACATTTGGGGGGTTGGGTGAAATAATCGATGAATAAATATGATTTTTTTTAAATATATATTTTTGTTTCTAAATGTGATATTTTTGACAATTTATATTACTAAAAGTATGAACCATCTGGACTCCGACCAAGTTTTTCTTTTTTAATTAACCATAATTCTTCTGATTTTTTTTTTGGTTATGATCTAATAGTTTTTTATTCTGACTTTTAGTAGGTACGGGTTTGTGCTTCGCATTGTGCTGTTGTTGGTGGTGGCTTGGATGACTCTACTCATTTTTAACTCTGCTTTAATAGTTGTACCCATTTCACTTGGACGAGCACTATTCAATGCCATCCCCCTTTTGCCAATAACTCATGGCATCACGTGTAATGGTAATACGATTGAATTGAATTGATTCTCAGCTACTCTTTCTTGCTTTTACATTTAGAACATTGACTGTTTGCTGCTATTTCCTTCAGACTTGTATGCTTTTGTCATTGGAAGCTACGTCATTTGGACTGCTGTAGCTGGAGTCAGGTATTCCATTGAGCACATTAAAGCAAGAAGAGCTACAGTTCTGCTAGCACAAATTTGGAAATGGTGTGGCATTGTTATGAAGAGTTCTGCACTGTTGTCAATATGGGTAAGAAAAAGCCATCCTGTTTTTGTTTTTTTTTTGTTGGTTTTGGCTGTCCAATCTTTTTGACGCTTACATCACTGTTGTTTGTGTTCCAGATTTTCGTCATCCCGGTGTTAATTGGACTGCTTTTTGAACTTCTGGTAATTGTGCCTATGCGAGTGCCTGTTGATGAGAGCCCAGTTTTCCTCCTATATCAGGACTGGGCTTTGGGACTCATCTTTCTTAAGATCTGGACTAGACTGGTGAGAGTTTAACTTCTGACTTCCATGAATGCATTTATATAATAAACACATACACACACTACCTCGTTCGATCTCAAGGCAAATAACACAGGTGCATGCACACATACTCAAGTACACACTACCTCCAAAAGGGCCTAATTTTTACAGGATGATATTGAAATGGCTTGGAATATTGTTTGTTGCAATTATTCACCAGTCACAGAATGATTACATGGCCACAGAATGTCTGATTTTTTGTAATGCTACCTTTTTTTTTTCTTTTTCTTCCCATCTCTCATTTTACTCTTACCACAGATCTGAGTCTCATATATTCTCTCTCTCTTTCCTTTATAAAGTTTCATTTATTGTTAAGATGTTATAGTGACATGTTCCTTAATTTCCGCATGTTTGTCTTCCCTTTTTGTATTGCAATTTGTTTCAACTGAGTCATATTTTTCCCTCGAAAGTCTTGGGTTCTGAGCAAAATCCCCATTGGCAGATAATTCTAATATCTAAATGTCACTATTGTATGGGAAATTCTACTGTACACACTCCAAAAGAGTTGCATTCCATATGCACCCCCACTTTCAGATGTTGAGTCTTTAAAAATGAATTTGAGCCATCAATCATAGCTTATCTTGGGTCGTTCCCAACCCCACTTTGGGGCATAGCCAAAGACCACTCTGATTGTAATAAGAAGTCATCACAATAAGGTCATGATAAACACCACTTTGGGATGTAACAAACACCACAAGGATTTGACAATTAGTTTGTCCCACCACCACAATGGTCTGTAATTAAACACCACAATGGTTTATCAGCACCAATTTGGACCGTAACTTGCCTATAGTATGCGGCTCTGCACCTTGTGTATTATAGCATGACCCCTTTCATATATACACCTGAGATTAGACATTTGTTGTTTATATTTCAATTCTATTCTTTTTTTATTTATTTATTTATTATTTGTTTTTGGTCACTCAGTAGAACCTACTCTAGCCTAGATCTAAGGGGAAAGGGATAGGGGATCACCCTCCAACGCCCCACATGGGGCCTAAACTTGCAGCCTCCACTATGGGGGTTGCATAGTATACCACTGTTGTGGCACAAGTCATGGGTTATCTCAATTCTATTCAAGTCATGGATATTGTTAGCTTTTGAAATTCAATTTTTTCCAACATATTTTCTTGTTCTAGATCTGGAATTTGGTTGGTATCAATTTGTTGAAGATGCAGTAATGGATGAATAATGCTCCCATTTAAGTGACTAAGCTGTATCTGACATTTGTTTTATATTTAATCAGGTTATGCTGGAAAATGTGGTGCCCCTAGTTGATGAGAGTTGGCGAATAAAGTTTGAAAGGGTGAGAGAAGATGGTTTCTCAAGGCTGCAGGGCTTTTGGGTGCTACGTGAGATTGTGTGGCCGATTATTGTGAAGCTGCTTACTGCATTGTGCGTGCCCTATGTTTTGGCCAGAGGGGTGTTTCCAGTATTTGGATACCCATTAGTAGTTAACTCAGCTGTCTATCGGTTCGCCTGGTTGGGATGCCTTGGATTCAGCTTCATATGCTTTTGTGCCCAGAGGTTCCATGTCTGGTTCACCAACCTCCATAACTCCATACGCGACGACCGCTATTTGATTGGTCGTAGGCTTCATAACTTTGGGGAGGACGTTAGGGAGAAGCACAATGAGGCAGGGAATTCCGTGGAAATACAAGATTCTGATACACTGGGGACTGGGTTAATCAGGTACGATCATGAAGCTGATGTAGGGTTGAGGCTGAGACGTGCTGCAAATCGGCAGGAAGCCTGATTGAGAAACATAATCGTAGTCAGTTTTTGACACATTTGATGTGTCAAAAGAATGCATGGACAATTTGTTAACCCAATGTACCCCTTTTTAGGAATGTGTATAATCTCGTGCACTGAAATTGTTCTCTTTTTTGTTTTTGTTTTTGTTTTTGTTTTCTTGTGTGTGTGTGTGTGTGTGTGTTCATTATTTAGTTGTACTTTAGGTTGTGAATATAATATTTTACATAGTTTTTATTTTTTATTTTTAAATGTGTTGTTGGAATTTCTTTTTGGTCTTTTGATAAAAAGGGTTTGTACTTCATCTTAAGATGTAGGGATGTAGGTTGAAGGCATTTGCTGTATTACATTATCTTTCTTCTTTCCTATTTATTTGTAATAATAATTAACTAGCAAAATGGTGTTAGCTTGTGTCACTTTTCTCTCATATGATGTCTCATTTTTACGTATGGACACAACACAATTGATGTTTTCCGGTTTAGTTAAGCCACTTTGAGATTGAGTTGTACAAAGAGCTGGTACCAAGACCACTTGCAGGAAGCATGAACGGGTTGTCACCCGCAGCGTAATATCAAATTCAGAAGCAGCACTGCAATAAAATAAGAATTCCAATGGCTTTGGCTGTTATAACCTTCCCGACCACAAATTTTTTTTTTTCTTTTTTTAAGATAAAATGCCTAAAAAGGAAATTGCTTTTTGCTGTCCAACCTGGAATCAAAGCTATGCCTTTATGCACGAAGACGGGTCTTATCATCTGCATCTAGAACTACTTCCAAGCCAAGAACACATAAAGATCTGTTCTGAAAAGTTGTGAGTGCAACAAATAAGACAAAAAAAAAACAAAGGGTTCTGCCCTACAAGAGAAACTCACTTAAAACCATTCTAGAATTCATACATTTAAAACTGATTTCAAAATCAGCTGAAACTACAGATTAATCAGGAAACAAGGCAATCATTTAAGACAGCCTCCACAACCTTCGGCTTTCAGAGCTTGCTTCTGGTGACTCCAGCAAATGCAAAAAACTTCCGATCCATCTCCAGAAGAAAGCCAGTTACCTTCAGTTTCCATCACAGGCACCAGTTGTTCCGCAAAGTGGATACAAATTTTAGCCCAGCATCTACAGTTGTTCACCCAACAAAGAGAACTCAGTTATCAAGCTAGGACATAGTCATTGTACTAACAATAGTATTTAAATGTATTACAACTACAGTTAGCATTTTGAATCATCATGGGCATATTGGATTAGAATGCCTGAGAAAAACCTCTGCCGTAAGATGATAATAAAACGCAACACAGTAACATGTTATCTTAACTAATTATAGCATTTCGAATGCAGAAAAAAAAAAAACTGAAAACTAAAAAAAATATATATATAACATATAAAGAAACACAAGTAAAATGAGTACCGTCCTCTGGTCTGCAGGAGAAAAATTTGAAAGGGCAAAAGCCAATGACCCAATTGGAGTTGGTTGAGATATTCCCCCATCACGCAAAGGCATCCCACCAATAATATGGTAAGGAATGGAAAGCATGCCTTGAGCAACACCTGACATGGAAACATCAGGCAGGCCACGCCCTGTGGGATAATGGTAGATCTGCCCCCTTGGCAGCATCTATCGTTCAAACGAGTCATCAGACTATGTACAACAAAAGCAAATATGAAACTCAAACAATTTGGAGCAAAAGGACGAAGTGACACCTGCTGCTGCATAAGTGGAACCGGCTGTTGGCACTGCTGCACTGGAACACCACCTGCATGTCTGCCACCAGGATGTATGCCGTGAACCAGTGGCACAAAGAAATTCGGAATGGGAAGTTGACCAGGCCTCGTTCCTGGTACAAGTTGCTGCTGATAACCAAAATCAGGTTGGCAAAGTTTATACACATGCAAACAAAATATGTTACCAGCATGTTATGGTTATAAAACACTGGTTACATCCTACAGCCATTTCAAGGCCTAGGCAAAGAAGATTTAACTTGTAACTTCACGAAGAAGCGTATAGATAACACATCTAAAAATTCCAGATAGGTGTCAAAAAATTTAATCTTCATGAAGGGATGCACTCTTAAATTGAAAAGGAACGACTGAGGCATCCTTGATTAAACTATCCTGATAGGTGACTTCAAGAAACTCTATTGATATTCACATGTATAAATCTGAAGTTCCATGAGAGAAAGTGAACGGAGATGATCACATTATGGTTTCTACATTCAATGCAATTACATAATAGAAGCCGAGGCAGATTTTGAAAACAAAGTTTTCACCAGAGTACGCAAAAACAACAAAAAAATAGAAAGAAACAAGCATATTGCTTGCATTTCAGCTTTGTTGCTGTTGAAAAAGCTCCAAGATACAAGAAAGAATATGAAATCTTTCTAACCAGTAGTACTCACCAGAAATTTAGAAAGAATAATTGTCAAAGACAGGATTATAGACGTTTAATTACACAAGGATAAAAACATGTAACAGAATAGGCTGAATGGCAATCATGAAAAAAGGATTACTTGGGGAGGTGTGACAGCAGGCGGAGCTTGTCCACGGAACATTTGTTGTCCAAGACCAGAACCACCTGAGGGGCATATTGGCATACAAGGAGAAACTAAAGGTGCCACTGCAACTGGATGCATTCGAGAAAATTGAGCCTGCACACAAGCAATAGAATTCCATTTTCATGTAACCATTTTCTACACATACACATCCATGGCAGCCCTCAGAGAAACAAATTCAAACATAATTGATTCACAAAAGCACCATCATCCAGTGAAAATGAATTAAAGTTTAACTCTTCTCAAAGTGGCAAAGTGCAATGGAGGCACCATAAGGCAGTTATGGGTGTGTTTGGAACCCGTTGAAGGGAAAGAAAAAGGAAGGAAAAGTAAGTGTGAAACAAATTCTAGAGAAACCAGATGAATTTGATAATGTGAGTTTAAACTTTGTCAGCCTGATTGATGCATCGATCGTTCAAAGGACATCAGACAATGTACAACAAATGTGAATATGACACTCAAACAATTGGAGCAAAAGGACAAAGTGGCACCTGCTCCTGCATAAGTGGAACCGGCTGTTGGCCCTGCTGCACTGGAACACCTCCTGCATGTCTGCTACCAGGATACTGACCCTGCTGAACCACTGGCAAAAAGAAATTCGGAATGGGAAGTTGACCAGGCCGTGTTCCTGGTACAAGTTGCTGCTGATAACCAAAACCAGGTTGGCAAAGTTTAAACACATGCAAACAAAATATGTTACCAGCATGTTATGGTTATAAAACACTTGTTACATCCGACAGTCATTTCAAGGCCTAGGCAGAGAAGATTGAACTTGTAACTTCATGAAGAAGCACATATATATAACACATCTGAAAATTCCAGATAGGTGTCAAAAAAATTAATCTTCATGAAGGGCTCTGTATATGCACTCTTAAATTGAAAAGGAACGACTGAGGCATCCTTGATTAAACTATTCTGACAGGTGACTTCAAGAAACTCTATTGATATTCACATGCATAAATCTGGAGTTCCGTGAGAGAAAGTGAACGGAGATGATTACATTGTGGTTTCTACATTCAACGCAATTACATAATAGAAGTTGAGGCAGATTTAGAAAAACAAAGTTTTCACCAGAGTACGCAAAACCGGGAGTACTCCTTCACCAGAAATTTAGAAAGAATAAATTGTCAAAGACAGGATTATAGATGTTTAATTACACAAGGATAAAAACATGTAGCAGAATAGGCTAAATGGCAATCATGAAAAAAGGATTACTTGGCGGGGTGTGATAGCAGGCGGAGCTTGTCCATGGAATATTTGTTGTCCAAGACCATGACCACCAGAGGAGCATATTGGCATACAAGGAGAAACTAAAGGTGCCACTGCAACTGGACACATTTGAGAAAGTTGAGCCTGCACACGAGCAATAGAATTTCCATTTTCATGTAACCAACCATGTTTCTACACATACACATCTATGGCAGCCCTCAGAGAATCAAAGTCAAAACATTATTGATTCACAAAAGCACCATCATCCAATGAAAATGAACTACAGTTTAACTCTTCTCAAAAGTGCAATGGAGGCACCATAAGGCAGTTATGGGTGTGTTCGGAACTAGTTGAAGGGAAAGAAAAAAGAAGGAAAAGTAAGTGAGACAAATTCTAGAGAAACCAGATGAATTTGATTATGTGAGTTTAAACTTTGTCAGCCTGATCAATGCATCTATCGTTGAAAGGAGCCATCAGACAATGTACAACAAATGTGAATATGACACTCAAACAATTGGAGCAAAAGGACAAAGTGGCACCTGCTCCTGCATAAGTGGAACCGGCTGTTGGCCCTGCTGCACTGGAACACCTCCTGCATGTCTGCCACAAGGATACTGACCCTGTTGAAGAGTGTATTATAGATGTTTACTATTCAATTTACTGCAGTATTGAATATTCACATCATAAAACATGTAACAGAATAGGCTGAATGGCAATCATGAAAAAAGGATTACTTGGGGAAGTGTGATAGCAGGACGAGCTTGTCCACCGAATATTTGTTCTCCAAGACCCAGCCCACAAGGGGGTTTTATTGGCATACAAGGAGCAACTGAAGGCACCATTGCAACTGCATGCATTTGAGAAAATTGAGCCTGCACACAAATAATAGAATTACCATTTTCATGTAACCAAACATTTCTTTTTCTACACGTGCACGCGCACGTATAAGAGAATCAAAGTCAAAAAAAAATTGATCCACAAAAGCATCATCAATTCATGTGTCATTCATCTGAGCTGCATCTTTTTTAAGTTTCAAAAAAATCAGAAGAAAATGAATTGCAGTTTTTTTTTTTTCCCCAACAAAGTGGCAAAGTGCAACGAAGGCAGCATAATACAGTTACGGGTGTGTTTGGAATTAGGGAAGGGAAAGTAGAGTTATTTTTCTCTGGTTGGTTCTGCAAAGAAAAGGAAAATAACTTATTTTGATTTTAAAGAGAAAACAATAAAGTAACTGAAACTAACAAAGAAAACGAGGAAGCAAAAGAGAAAACAATAGGAAAGGAAAGTGAGGAGGAATATAACTTTCCATTTATTTCCCTTAGCTTTTATTTTTATTTTTTTCCTTTACCTCTCAACTAAAAATCAAACAGAGGAAGGAAATAAAATTGTTATTTTCCTTTTCTTTCTCTATATTCCTCAAGTTCCAAATGCAAACTATGCACTGAAATCCCATAACCACTAAATTTGGGTATTTATGTTCCTTCATTCCACTACAATTGGTTGGAAGCTGAAAAAAACACATACGCCCCGTTCAAATGTCAGCAAAGTAATGCAAACAACAGTATGAGAAATTTTAATTTTCCTGTAAAAATAACAATGTTCTGTTAACAAGAAAATTGTGGGATCCACATTTTTCACTTTCCCATTAGGATAAAGTTTTCCTACAAAATGTATCTTAAGAAAATCACAAGCTTTTGTGGGATTCTCAACAAAATCTTACATAAAAAATAAAAATAAAAACTTCCCAAGTTCCCATCAAGGATCAAATTTCCATTTTGGTGTATTCTTTTGGCTCTCATGGAAATAGAAACATTTCATAAAAGTTTCGAATGAGACAAAAAATTAAAAATACATGCAAATATATTTAGAAACACAAACTAAAACTTACCTAATTTAAAAAAGCCTAATAAAAAAAATAACGCCTAATTAATACACATTAATGTGTGTTTGGAAGGGAAAAGATTAGGTATACACCTAACTTTTGGCATAGTGCATAAAGTGGTTGATCCAAGACTTGAACTCATAATCTCAAGGTTATTAGACCAAGCTTTTACCATTAAATCAATGGTTAATTAAATACATTTATATTTTAATTAAACATATTTATATATTTACATTCATTCCCTGATTCCCATAAAAGAATAAATGTTAAATCAAAAAGTAATGTTGCTACAATCCATAAATTGTTATGTACTGTCAACTAAATTAAATTACTATCAAATATATGTGTACATAATTCTATACGTGAGTGAGATTCCAACAACTAAGGGGGAAAAAAACTTGCAAAGATAGAAATAATAATAGTATTTCTATGATAACATCTTCTGAAAATAGTAATATAATAATAATCATTAATATAGTACAATAAGGCCTTTTACAATTTTCTGACAACATTTGTGAGATTCCAAATTCATGTTGAAGTAACTTAGGTAGCACTTGGTTTGTGTTTAGAATTATGATTTGAGTGTGGAGCTATATTTTGAGTTTGTGAGTTTTTGACTTATAATTTGAAAAGAGAAAATTTGTTTGGTTATGAGTTTTGAAAAAAGTTTTGAATTATGATTTGAATTAAGTGTTGAATTTTTGAAATGAGTGCTGAATTTGTGAAAAGTTATTTGATTATGAGTTTTGAAAAGAGTTTTCAAAATTTAATTCAAAAACTTATAACTAATAACCAAACACACAACTTAAAATTCTATTGAAAATTTTATTCGAAACTCATAACCAAATTCTTTTTAAAATTCAATTCAAAAAAAAATTATTGACAAAAATTATTTTTTTATTTAAAAAATTAAAAAAATTCCGAAAATATATTTTTATTTAAAATATTAAAAAATATATTATAATTTTTTTTATTTTTTAAAAATTACTGTGACAAATTAATTTTTATTTCAATTTTTTTTTTTGTTAATTTTAAATAAATGTCCAAATAATTTGTCATTTTGGTCTCAAAATTTTTTTTTTCTATATTTAAAAAATATCAAAACCAAATATAATATTTTTCCCCCAAATAACAGGTGCCAATTGCTAAAAAAAATAAAATAAAATAAAAAAACTGTTCCGGACTTCCGGGTAAAAATTCAAAAACTGTCTAGGCGAATATCCGAGCGGACGACCGGACAGACCAAAAATTAAAAAACTCACTGGTTTACCAAACATGTTTTCAAAATGTGTTTTGAAATTGGTTTGGAATCATGATTTGAAAACTGTAAGCAAACAGAGGGTTGATTATTAGTGTGGAATCACGGTTTGAATTACAAACCAAACACAGCCTTATTGTTTGGCTATGATTTGTTCTGTTTCAATGAGTGTTGCTTTCTTTCAGCGAAAACATTGGAATTTCGTTATTCTACTAGAGTTACATTTCGGTCTCTTAGGAAAAGGAAATATTTCGGCCATTTCATCAAGGAAGCTTTATTCCTTCCTTCCCATAGTTTCATCCCACCTATCCTTCTTCTATATATCCAAAGCAGATCCTACTCTAGACAAATGCAGCACTAAGTTTTCTCTCATCATTTTTTTTTCTTATGTAAATATTGATTTGTAGATGAAGAAAGTTCTTATGCATTGCAATAAATATACGTATACATATATCTATTGTATACAATATATATATATGTGTGTGTGTGCGCGTGCGCGCGCGTGCTTGAATATATAAATATTTGAATAGTATATTGGGACTGCTATATACATGGGCCCTGTACAAAAGGGAAGGAGGGGAGGGGGGGGGGGGTATTCATTCTTTACTTCACATGAAATTGGTAAAATATATATCCAAATTAAAAACTATCTCACAATTATTTTCCTTGGCAAATAAACAATTAAAATTATATTTTTCTTACAAAATTCTATTGTCAAATAAACATGCACATGAAAATAATAATAGTATTTCCAAGATCATTTGATCATGTATAATGAAGACCTATAAATGCAACACTAAGAAAGAGTGATACGATCACTATACATGGAAATGTTGGGTGGAGGAGAAGACCTAAACTAGTATGAGATGCGGTAGTTAAAAAAAGCTAGGCATTTGTTTAATTTAAGTGAGCAAATAGCCCTTGATAAAACCAAATAGCAAAAAATAAAATAAATATTTGTGTAGTCAACTTCACTTGAGTGGGAGACAAAGCTTAGAATGATTTGGTAGGGGTTAAATGTACCTGCAATCTCACTCTTCTATCTTTCTTTCGTTCTGCATAAGCAACATAAAGAGGTTTGCTGACAACCATCTTGCCATTCATCTCCACCAGCTATCCCCCTCAAAATAAAAATATAATATAAATAATAAAAAAAAGTAACAATTATACCACGGCATATAAATATATATTGTTGAAAATGCAAAACAATAGCAGTAGTCCTCAGCTCTGTTATCAGAATCTTACGATTCGCGATTCGATTCACGATTCGATACGCAATTTTTGCAAAATCGATACGAATCTATGAGTGAATCTATTTTGGAAGTGAATCTCTAGTGAATCGCACGATTCACAATCGATTCACGATTCGATTCACTTTTTACGATTCATAAATAATAAAAAAAGTAACAATTATACCATGGCATATAAATATATATTGTTGAAAATGCAAAACAATAGCAGTAGTCCTCAGAATAAAAATAAACATAACAAAAGAAAAACAAAGAATAAAAAAGTAATTTTCTATGATATGATGAAGTTTTCTTAAATGAAAAAAATAATAAATAATAATACTAGTAGCTATTCTATGATAAAAGATTTTTGTAGTTGCAGAAGACATCAACTCACAGCTGTAGACGCTTCTTCGGGAGTAGAAAATGCAACAAATCCTGATTTCCTACTTATTCCATTAGCGTCTCGCAAAACCTGTTCATATATCAAAACAATAAAATTTCAGCAAACTCTCAGCCAATATACTAACAGAGACAACTACATAGATACTTTCGAACACCAATATATATATATATTATAGACGGTACAAACCTTGTATGCAGTTATGGTACCAAATGGGGAGAACAATTCCTTAAGCTTATCATCGCCAATGCTATCATCTAAATGTTTAATGTACAGGTTTAGCCGTTGAGATTTGTCTACTCCCTCCACCACATTGGTCAGTTTTTCCTTCTCCAAGGCCATTTCCCTTTCATGCTTCTTACGAAAGGGCCCCACACATATTTTCTTATCATTCAACACCATATGTCCAAATATCAACATCGTTGTTAACTATTGTTACTTTAGAAATTAATAGTTTCTATTTGGTTATTACCTTTATTAAGAATGGTTGATACAAAAATCTAAAAAAAAAAGAAAAAAGAAAAAAGGTAAGATGGTGATTTTACATAGGAACCTTTGTTAACTTTTTACCTATTAAATTACGTGATTATCATTCAAAATAACATTTTTGTTGATTTAAGTCTAAATATTTTATATTCATAAGATACATTTAACATCTAAATGTGTAGATATATGTTTTTAAGTGATTTAGAAAAAGTGATCGAATCTTTACGATTCACGATTCGATTCGATTCGCGATTCGGTACGAGACCATTTCGATTCACGATACGAATCCCGATTTGACAACTATGGTCCTCAGAATAAAAATAAACATAACAAAAGAAAAACAAAGAATAAAAAAGTAATTTTCTATGATATGATGAAGTTTTCATAAATGAAAAAAATAAAAAATAATAATACTAGTAGCTATTCTATGATAAAAGATTTTTGTAGTTGCAGAAGACATCAACTCACAGCTGTAGACGCTTCTTCGGGAGTAGAAAATGCAACAAATCCTGATTTCCTACTTATTCCATTAGCGTCTCGCAAAACCTGTTCATATATCAAAACAATAAAATTTCAGCAAACTCTCAGCCAATATACTAACAGAGACAACTACATAGATACTTTCGAACACCAATATATATATATATTATAGACGGTACAAACCTTGTATGCAGTTATGGTACCAAATGGGGAGAACAATTCCTTAAGCTTATCATCGCCAATGCTATCATCTAAATGTTTAATGTACAGGTTTAGCCGTTGAGATTTGTCTACTCCCTCCACCACATTGGTCAGTTTTTCCTTCTCCGAGGCCATTTCCCTTTCATGCTTCTTACGAAAGGGCCCCACACATATTTTCTTATCATTCAACACCATACCGTTAAACTTCTCAACAGCTTTTTGTGCAGCTTCCTCGCTATCATACAGCACGAACCCATAGCCTTTTGACTGACCAGAGTCGTCTGTTGCTACCTTACAAGAGAGAATATTTCCAAATGAAGAAAACACATCATGTAGTGCTCCGTGGTCAATAGCCTCATCCAAATTCTGCCAAGAAAAAAAATGAAACTTGCTCAGCAAGCACACAAAACAAATTTAAATCCTGAAAGAGTACTCAAATCAGATAATAACCAAAAGAAGGAAAAAGCAAAAGTAGCAATACCTTAACAACAATGTTTCCAGCCCCACGATGAGAATATCTTATCCTAATTGGTTTTCCATTCAGAGGATACAAGTTAAACACCTCCAATGCCCTCCCAGCTGTCACCAACATAGATTAAAGTGTGCATAAGCTCACATGCAGCACAATAGTATTTAAGAAGAAAAAACAAAAAAATATATTATGCTGACATTATGTTGTATGATCCCAGATGAATATTGTATTGGGAAAGAGAAGCACCTTTGACAGTTCACCTTCTGACACCCCAAGATTTATGGATGGAATCAAATATAAAGTATCTACATAGTGCTCATGTGGTTCACAAGAAGGAAGGGAATCGTTGTTCATGTTACCACAACCAAACAACCAATTTCGAGCAATTCAAATGAAAATTTATCATGCCAGTACATGTTTCATTCAACATTATTCTCTCATGCACCTTGCATGCACCGTGTTGATCGATCACTTACCAATTTCTTTCTAGGGATCAATTGCATAACAATCCCTTGACTTTGGAAATGCGCATAATCACCAATTTTGCTAGAAAAAAATCCTTAGACCAATGTAATACTCATCTAATGTAAAAATACCAAAATTGGTGCACTTTGAAAACACAATTATCCTAAGAAAGTATTCTACGTGAAATGTAAAAATATTTGTGAGGGTAATGGAGCGATATCTGCATTTTTTAATCTCATCTTCAACTTGAACATTCTCAGCACTCTATCTAGTCTACCAAGCCCCATTACAACACATTTCCATTACTCAAGTTTCGTCATATGGAAATTGCCAACGCTGCTTATCCTAGATCTTGTATCATAAAGCCTTTTTTTTTGTGTGTGATGCATCTTCCTTTAAGTGTGAGTACCTTAGAACCCATGTGTGATTGCCTAGGCATCCCTCTCCCATTCTTCTTCCCTATATTCTTTAACCGCACACTATCATCCTTTAAACTGTCTAGACGTTCTACTGGTTCTGAAAGTAAAGATCCTACATTAATATAACCTAACAATCTTTTCTAGACGATGCTACAAAAGTACCATTTACTACATGCACTTTATTTCCTTGCTTTTAAGGGCAAGTATCAAGAGGTAAAAAAGATCAGGAGTTCGCATGAGAAGATTATCAAAAGTCAAAAACATAAGAGCAATTCATTAAAGTTTCTCCTGGTCCTCGTGCTTGAATTGTTTATAAGTAAATCCATTTCCTTTTTCCCCTGATAAGTAAATATAGATTAAAAACGTACCAAAAGAGGGCTATACCTATTCCACATTTTTCTCTAACTGTTTTGAATTCATACTGCAGTCTTGTCATCGGCATTTAGTTACTTACGTTTTCCACAGTACCTATTCAGGCAGCTTATAGAAAAAAAAGAAAAAGAAAAAGAAAAAAAAAAAAGACACTATTCAAATGGCCAAGGTCTGTTGAAAAAGCAAGAAGCATGTTATTAGGCTAGTAGTTGAAATTTTCTTAATGTAAAGCAGGAAATGACACCTGACCACTTTTAATAGATCATTCAATATTTAGTTTAGTAAAATGGTCACCTCTATCTCCTACATTATGGATTTTGCATTACATCAAATAAATGTATTTCTTCCTACAACACAACTGGTTAGTCAGTTACAGTTACTTGTACAACAATACAAATCTCCCTCAACAAACACCAGCAATTCACCAAAAAGTACCATGCTTTATATAGCTACACATTAAATGCATATATAAAACAAACATTTAGATTATACTAATGTATTTGAAGAAACACCAAATATCAAGCAAATGAATTGAATATTCAAGCAAAGAACGAACCAGCTTCAGGGTTTGAATAATTAACATAACTGTAACCGTGCGATCGCTGAGTAGTGAAATCCCCACATACTTGAACAGATACCACCTGACCCAGCTGGTTAAACAGATCAAATAGCTGCAAAGCGGTCACATTCAGCTCAAGGTCACTGACATACAGCGATGTCCTCATAGACTGGTTTCCACCAACATTCACAGCCTCAGGGTGGACTTGAACCTGTGCAATATTAACCAAAACCCTTAAAAAAATTCTTTTTCAAAAATTTTCATATTTTGTATTTTTTCCCCTCTCTTGTTATTTATAGGAACCAAACCCTAGAAAACATAAAAGGACACAGCAACACGAAATCAGGGAAAAAAAAAACACTCCAGAAATTGAATTTTTTTTTTTCCCTTTTTCATGGATGGATTGATAGTGAGAGGCAAGAGAACAGTAGATAGAGGTGGAGAGAGACAACAAATGTGAGTTAGGAGGGCAGCTTTGAACTCCACACTGAAAATATGATTTGGAGCTGTGTTATATAGTTGGGGCATGTTGTCTACAATATAATTTCTGTTAATAATTTTCCTTTCCTTTCTCTTTCTTTCCTCAAGTTTCAAGCACACCCTATGTGTTGACATCCATAATTTGGGGTATTTATGTCACTTCAGAGTTCCTCTACAGTTGGTTGGAAGCTAAAAACAACACCTCCTAAATGTACCTGCAATCATTTCATTATTATTATTATTATTATTATTTTGGTAGGGGTTAAATGTACCTTCCATCTTGCTCTTCTATCTTCTTTTCGTTGTGCATGAGCAACATAAAGAGGTTTCCCAAAAACAATCTTGTCATTCATCTCCAATAGCTACTCCCCCCAAAAAATAATATAAAACAAAAAAAAAACAAAAAAACAAAAGAAAAACAAAGATTAAAAAAAGAACAAGTAGTAGTAGTTATTTTATGATGAAGCTTTTGTAGTGCCAGAAGACATCAACTTACTGCTCTAGATGCCTCTTCGGAAGTAGAAAATGCAACAAATGCTGATTCCCTACTTATTCCATTAGAGCCTCGCATAACCTGTTCATATATCAAAACAATAAAATTTTGGTAAACTCCCAACCAATAAATTAACAGAGCCAACCACATAGGTGTTTACCAATATAATATATAGACGGTACAAACCTTGCATGAAGTTATGATACCAAATGGAGAGAACAATTCCTTAAGCTTATCATCACCAACGCAATCATCTAAATTTTTAATGTATAGCATGTTCTCAAATTGAAGTTTCAATTCAAGTTCCCTGTCAGATTTTTTTTGGGCTATCGCAACATACCACTCATTATTATTATCAATGTTTTGTCCATTAAGAGACTCAACAGCTCGAGCAACATCATCTGCACTCTCAAAGTTGACAAAACCGAAGCACTTAGAATTTCCATCAGCATCCTTCATCACCGCAGCACTAGAGATTGTTCCAAATTCACCAAATATTTTCTTCAGATCTTCTTCAGTTATTGATGTCGATAAATTTCTCACATAGAGATTGGTGCCTTTTGCCTTCTCCAAAAGCATTTCTCTTTCGTTCTTATGACAGAAGGGTTCCACATATACTGGCTTACCATTCAACACAATACCATTAAGCTTCTCAATAGCGCTTTGGCGACCTTCCTCACTATCATATAGCACAAACCCGTAGCCTTTTGACTGACCAGAGTCATCTTTTGCTATCTTACAAGAGAGAATATCTCCAACTTCAGAAAACACGTGATATAGTTCATGGTGGCCAATAGCCTTGTCCAAATTCTGCCAAGAAAAAATATAAAAACTTGCTCAGCAAACAAAACAAACTAAAATCCCGAAACAGAGTTCTCAAATCAGATAACAACCAAAGAAGGAAAGAAAAAAAAAAGAAAAAGAAAAACTACAATACCTTAATAAAAATTTTTCCAACCCCGCCAGGAGAATATGCTATCCTAAGGGGCTTTCCATTCAGAACATGAAGGTTCAGTAGCTCAAATGCCCTCCTAGCTGTCACCAACATAGACAAAAGTTCAGGCCAAATGTTAGTTCAGTGAAAAAATATTACCATTTCCAGTTCAATAATGAAAAGAAACATGGTCCCCATGTGCAAAAGCTCACATGGAGCACAAGAGATTTTAAGAAGAAAAACAAAGAAATATCTTATCTTGACAATGTGTTGTATGAAAAGAATTATTTGGCTTTACCCATGAATGAGGTGGAGGCCATATATATATAATAGATTCATGATACATTATAGGAAACGATATAAATAAGGAAACAATACTAAATCAGTGATTGACACAATCACAAATTATATACATAATACTAAAAATAAAAAAATTCTATATATTCTAATTTCTATATTCAACAGTATGATCCCAGATAACTACTGTATGGGGAAAGAGAAGCACCATTAGTAATTCATCTTCGTTGTTGTTTGGCTTGTAAGTTAATTTGTTGCTCTTAAAGTGTACTAGAATTAGTTTGTTTCACAGTTAAGAACAATATAGTTCACAATGTTGATTAGATGGGCCAAATGGCTTAAGTAATATCTTGAAAATCTGCTGCTATTGCACAGTATTGGAGCATTTTCTTGTCAAAACATATTGGAAGTTCTAGTAAGATTTTAATATTTTGGACGACCTTGACCTTTGAGAGTGTTGGGATGAATGTTATAAGCTTTGTTTTGATGAGTCAAGTCCCTCAGGTTGGTTTGCTCAGGTTGTATTACTTTGTCTTCCCTAACGTTCAGTACTACTTTAGTTTCAGGCTACTATTTCTTATGGTCACAGACACCCCAAGATTTATGGATGGAAATCAAAAACATAGTAGTATCTACATAGTAGGGTTCCATTTCAGGCTTCCGTACTTTTTTTCCATGGGATGATATACATTGACGGGCCTACAAAATAAACGGTTCAAATCATCAAAATGGGATCTATTGTGAGCTCCATGAGCCTCTCAAGTTCAGATTTAAATTTTAGAGAAACCCAACTTTTCGTAATCACGTAAAGCAGTAAACAACAGTAGAACATTTTTAAGAGATCATCCAACAGTTACTTTACTAAAATGGTCGCCTCTATCTCCTACATTACAAAATTTTCATTACATCAAACAAATGTCATTCTTCCTACAACTGATAAGTCACTTTATAGTTACTTGTACAACAATACGAAGTAACCTTCAACGAACACCAGTAATTGAACCTAGTGGAGACGTGATGATTTTGGCTTAAACAGGCAATATTTAGTCAAAATTTTAGCAAGAATCACAATCCAATTTTCATTTGGTGGTAGGATTAAAAATCAGTGGGATGCCAAATTATATTTAGAAATAAGCTTGAGCAATGTTATTAAAGGCGGGCCTAGGCATGCCCCTAGGCCCAAGGCTCATCAAGGGGCAGTCAGTGCGCTTCAAAACATCTGAAGCCAGGTGATATAAAACAAGCCCCATAAAGGTGCATGAAACGTGCACTTTGGGCTTAGGCTCAAGGTGCACGACTTACGCGCTTCTTTTAAAAAGTTTGTTTATTACAATTTACAACTATTACCTTGATTTCACGTAAACTCATTGTTTTAAAAAGGGTTAATGTAGAAATTTAATGTATAAAGAGAAATAGAGAATTGTATTATTGATTGATTTATATTGATTCATTTTCTATCTATTACAAATGGTTCCTTATATAGATGTAGGTGTAGTGGATGGTGCGTAGTGGATGGTGATAGTGGTGTAGTGGGTTAGGTTTAGTGGAGTAGGTGAGGTGGTAGTGGTGGTAGGTGATGGTAAATTAGTGGAGTAGGTGAGGTGGTAGTGGTGGTAGGTGATGGTAAATTCTAACAGTTAATTACAAAATAAATTCTAAAGTTTCACATATTTTTCACTTTAAACCCTCTCCATTACCTTGTACAAATGGAGATGGACGGAGGAGACAAATTGAAACACGGATGGAACAACAGGGTTTAATTTGTCGAAATTGAAATACTGAGGTTTAAAGTTAAAACACGTAAAACCTTAGGTTTTTTTTTTTTTGTAATTAATCCTTGAAGTTTTTAAATTTTTTTGAAATTTTTAGTAGCATTTTATAACTTTTTGGCATACAACTAAAAAAAATCACAATTTTTTTTTGCATTTTTTGTTTTTAGTAATTTTTTTAATATATTTTTTAACTTTTTAAGTCCGATAAATTTAAAAGTAATTTTTTACAAAAATAAAAAATAAAAGAACTTTGATGTCTGATTGAGTAAGTAGTTAAAATTGTTAATTTTAAATTCTTTTTTTAAAGATTCATTAAAAATAAAAGAAAACCAATAAAAAATTCTAACACCAAACACCCACTTAGCCAAAAAAATCAACCACTCAAACGAGATCTAAATCATAAATGTATATATAAAACAAAGTATCTCCAATTCTTCACATTTTTTTATAAAAATTTAAATTTAATAAAAAAATATTCAAAAACCATCTTTAATCATTTCATCAAATCAAGAATCATTTGTTCTATCAAATTGAAAACTCATCAAATCTTTCGTCAAATTTGAATTTGATAAAAGTTTAAAAAGATGAAACATTAGAGATGGTTATCAAATTTAATGAAAATGGAAATTTGATATAAGAGAGGAATTTAAAAGAAAAATTGATAAAAAAAAAATTGATGAAAATATTGGAATAGTTCATATAAAATCAATTTTTTATTCAAATTTAATGAAAAAATTGGTAAAAGGGTTGGAGAGCATCTCACATCTTTCATCTTTTTCTTTCATCAAATTTAAATTTGACCCAAAAAAAAAAAATGCACAAATCATCTCCAATCAAATCAAAGGAGAGCATTTTTTTTCATCAAAATGAGAATTCATTAAATCTTGGACATAATTCTTTCATCAAATTTGATAAAAATGAAAATTTGGGATAACAGAAATTTTTTTAAAAACCATTTAATAAAAATTTAATGAAAGAATTGGAGTAGATAATATCAAATCAAATCTTTTACTCAAATATAAAATTAAATAGATGAAAAAATTGACCAAGGATTACACAAGAATTCTATACTTTCTAGTCATGTTTCTGGTCATGTTTGATTCACAAGACTAATAGTGAGGTATTAATAATCTTATTAAATTAGTGTGGTATTCACTGTCCAATTGGATTAATAGGATAAATTATCTATTGGATTAATAATTCCACTCCTACCCATTACTAATAATCCTACAAATTTGTTAAATTAATTATCTATTGGATTAATAATCCTAAACCAAAATGTTAAAACAAAGATAGGATAATTGGACCCACGGATTAATAATCTCACTCTCATGCTCTAATCCATCCAATCAAACATGCCCTCAAAGTCATAACTAAAAAAATCATAACCAAACACAAATAAGGTATAACTAAAAATCTCAAAATAATTATAAAAAAAATTATTATTATAACTAAAGAAATTCTCCGGATTGGAGATAAGTCTTACACAGAAGAATTTATCAAGCTTCAATTTAAGCAAAGGAATTGAATAGTGAAGCAAAGAACACTAACCATTTTCTCGGTTTGCGTAGTAAATAAAGCCGTAACCGAATGATCGCTGAGTAACCAAGTCCCTTGCTATTCGAACAGAGATCACTTCACCCTGCTTGTTAAACAGATCATACAGCTGCGATTCCGTCACACTCGTGTCGAGGTCACTGACATACAGCCACATATCTACCAAAACAACAATTTTTTGTTTTTCAAAATTTTTCAATTTTTTTTTAATTTTTTCTTCCCTCTCCTCTTTTTAATTTATAGAACGCAAACCATATCAGAAAACAAAATCAAACACACACACACACACAAAGCACGAAATTAACAAACAATTTTTTTTTTTTTGGATAGAGGGAGGAGAGGGAAGAGTAGATAGGGGTAGATTGTCGGAGATCCGACGAGGAGCAGATCGCCGCCGCCGCAACGGAGAGGAAGAATGGTGAGTTCCACAGTTCAGAAATGATCCGCAGCTGGGTCCGTTTTATAATTGGAGTCAACCCGCCTAAATTACAATTTGGACCTCTGAAGTATTAAATAATTTTATTTTGGTCCTTATGCTTTAGAGTTTCTCAATTTCAGCCCTAAACTTTTAGGGTTTTTTTTGTTGTCGTCGTCGTCGTCAATGTGAGCGAGAAAAAACTATTAAATGTAACAGTGTCACCTGCCAATAAAAAGTCATAAATGACTAAATTAACAAGTCTTATCTCCCACTAAATTAACATTGTTGTAGTCCTTATCGTAAATCAAGATTGTTTATTGGATGGTGATACCGTCACATGGTATTACCATTACATTCCATATTTATTTGTGATCGAGTTATCAATCGTCAAATTCACTAATTTAAAGGGTTAAAGTGATAAATTGTAATACTTACAAGGATAAAGTGGAAAAAAAAATGTAATATTTATATGATTCAGCTTTCGTTCGGTTCATAATTTAGACTAAAGGGTGTGTCCAAATTGATGTGACTCATCACGAGTTTCATTTCAATAATTCAAACTATTTATTTTATAAGATGTTTCATAAAAAAAAATAAAGAGAATAAAAAAGAATCGTTAACTTTTCAAAGAATGTTCATATTAAACTTTGATTTTACCTACAAACGAAAAAATACCAATTAGTTACTTGAAATATTCTGTGTCGTGTAACATGGTCAATTTGAAAAGCTTCATGGATTTTTGAAACCTAATATATACTTCTAATAGTGTCCTAAAACGTACAATCCTCCTACCAAAATACCATGTTATTTCTATTTGTCTATACAGTAATGGTTGATGGTCATAATTTTTGTGGCTCAAACAACGTCGTTTTATAATAAAACGGCATCGTTTTGACAATTTCAAGCCATTTGAACTACAAAAATTATGACTCTCAAACATTTTTTTTGTCCATAAGATAATGGGGTCTAAATGTTGAGTGCAATTATTTTTTCAGATTTCAAGATTAGTGGTATATGTAAATACATAAAAAAACCATTGATCTATGCAGTATCCACCAATGTCTCATCTTATGCTCAATTAGATCTTATTAAAAAATTGAATAAAGAGAGGCTATTTAGTTCTTGGATAAAAAGTACTATGTAAATAATATGACTTGCTAAATTTCACAATTTTATGTTGTAAATTTTTATTTTTTATTTTTTGTCTTTCAACTGTATATAATTATTAAGTCTAAATAAACAATTCTATCAAAATTCGAACTATTTGGTTAATTATATCAAAATTTTCTTAATTATTAGTGAATATCGACTTATTCCTTACGTGAATGAACATGTATATTTTAACCCTTTTAATTATGAAAGTGTAAAAAAGAAATATACTTTCACACTCAAAAATCACCTTTACACTGGGGCGTTGGTATAGAAGTGGGTTGGCTTTTTGGCTTTTTGGCTTTTTTGGTTATTTTAGCCTGGGCTAAAAAGTTTGGTTTGGGAAGGGCTTTTTGGCTTTTTGACTTTTTTGACTTTTTTTGTGAGAGAAGAATGTAATGATTACGGGTTGGATGTGATATTTTATTTTTTGTGGCTAAAATAGCCTATTTTGTTTTTTATGGCTAAAATAGCCAAAAAAACCCCGTTTAGCTCTTGCCAAACGGAGCCATAATTTTTTTTATAGTTGAGAAAGGGTCAATAAATATAGGTTGACAAATGACGTGTTAATTTTGACCTTTTGATTTTAAACTTATTGTTTTAAATTGACTCTCTTTTTTTTTTTTTGTGATTTTATTTACACGCTACTAATACTTTTAGTACACACTATTATTTAGCATATATATAAAATAATTTTTAGAGTTAGAAAAATATTTTAATTCACACCTTAACTTTTCTAATCCTATATTAACACACCATTAACTATTTGAATATATATCATTACACACACCAAAAACTCTTCATCTTCACCATTACAAACAACAAAAACCTCACAATCTTCACAACATAGACCAATAGAGACCATCTTCACCAGTCTTAATTTCTATCGCCGACGGAGATTTCATTCGACTTCCATCTTTGTTAATGTTGATCTCTATAATTAGTGTTGAATTCTTGTCATTTCTTATCTCATCATCTCGTCATTTCAAATCACTGATGGTGTATTTCATTCAACCTCTATTTTCGCCCGTGTTGATCTTCATTGTCGGTCTTAAACTCTCGTCTTCGTTTCAAATTCATCAAATTAGTCATATTCATAAATACAGAGTTGAACAAACTTAATGTGTTTAAAAATTTATATCTAAACAATGAATGAAAGTTTAATTTATTTCAACCAAACTAACTTTAAAAATTAATAGGGTGGTTTGGCATCCCCTATATAATCCATATTTTTATCTTTTTATCTTTTTTCATCACATCACCTCTCTACTTTTTTGCACATTTTTTCGTAAAAAGACAAAAAATGCACTTATTTAGATCATTCCAAACAACTAATTTTTTATGTATGAGCATTTAATATTTGGTCAACCTTAATAATTTGAACAAAATTGTTTTGTTCAAACATAAATAATCGAACATTATGTAAAAATTCAACTTTGGTTATCCAAACACGACGAACAAACTCATATTCTCAACATACGAACGAGATAAAAAAAAATTAAAAAAAAAACTAAGTCATACATATAATCTTTTCAATGTTCAAATCAACGTTTTCAATATTTATATCGGAACCAACTATCACAGTGTCATCCATGATGTGCAAATCTCCAAGACTAATTGATTTCAATATTTTTAAACCCAAAATCTTTAAAGACAATAATGTTTTGAATTTAAAAAAGGACTTTTCTTAAGTGTGCAACTTACACCTTACACTTACGCTTTTCTGTTTGTTGTCCTGTTTTATGTTTATACCTTCCACTTACACCTTTTGTGTTGGTTGCATATGGTGTGCAACCTTAAGGGGTTGCACACCATAACCGCACCCTTTAAAAAAATAAGTATAATGGAGAAGAGAATAAAGTAAACTAATTGATAACAAATGATATCATAAATGTATATTGATGGTGAAAATGATGAAAAAAAATACCCTGTTTGGTTTGTTTTTCAGAAAAAATTTTGAAAAAATTCTCTACAAACAAATTTACAGGAGTAATCAAACCAAACAAAATTTTTCAAAAAAAAATCTCAAAATTTTGTTTGGTTACCTACTTTTTAAAATTACTCTCTCTCATACACATCAAATCAATCACTTGTTTTAAAACTTTCTCCCTAAAATAATTTTTCAAAATTATTTCTAAAAAAAGGCAAACCAAACAAATTTTCGTACTTTTTATCTCAAAAACTACTCTACAAATACAAACCAAACACATATTTATATGTTAAAACCCTAAACCATATAAGAATTATGGTGTGTAAAGAATATTTTGTGTTTTTAAATATAAATTTTTTAACTAGGTATAATACACCTCATGTTTGTTTTTAATAGTCAATTCATTAGAGGATATTATTGAAATATAAATTTAATTTATTAATAGTGTATATTAAAAGTATTAGTGGTGTGTAAATAAAATTATTTTTTTTAAAAAAAAACTTTATGATGATGTGTGAGAAATATCAAAATGATTTTTTTTTTTTTTGGAAAACTAACTCAATAATTAAATAAGCTGATTGGTGTGTTTGGTAATGTTTATGTTTTCAATTTATATTTATAAAATTTTTATAAACTGATTTTTGTTTATTTTTAGAAAAACATAAACTACAAACGTGTTTGGTAATTGACAAAATGTTTAAAAAAATTTAAAAATATAAAAAAGAGTGAGAAATGACAAGTGGTGGCAAGTGGCGGCGGAAGATGGTGGTGGAAAGTGGTGAAGGTGGGTGGTGGGTAGGTGATGGTGGTAGGTGGGTGACGGTGGTGGTGGGTGGGAGGTGGTGGTGGCGGGTGGTGGGTGGTGGTGAGTGGGTGGTGGTGGTGGCGGCGGCGGCGGTGGGTGGTGGTGGCAGGTGGGTGGCGGATGGTGGGTGGTAACCTTTAAAAGTTTCGTAGTACAAAAGATTTCACATGAAACTTTCCTCTGGTCCAACAGATATCCGGTTGACGTCAAAATCCTTGACTCGAAGAGTTGACGACCAGGGCATCATTTGTGAGGGCAATATATCCGTTCTAAGTCTTTTATCGAAAAAGACATGACGTTTGTTGCCCTGTCTTCCCTTTTGGTGCAGGTTGTAAATAACCCTCGTCACTGTTTATGAATAACCACTGATTTACCGTTGAAACTGAACTGATTATGACTGATTAATTGAACTGATTAAAGTACTGAAACTGACGACTGAAAAATTGGAACTGAAATTGACTGAGTATGTGTGTTAATCTGTAATTCTATCTGTTAATGTTTTACTTGATCTGTTCACGTTTTATGTTTAAACTGCTAATGAAGGCTTATCTGGCGGCCGAACGGGAATTGATTGATGTTTTATGATCCTCATAATTAATCGTTGATCTTAGGGTAGTATTTATCTAAATACTGATTTGGTATGATTACAATTAGATTAAATATTAATGGATTGCAAGTTTTGGACTTAATTACCAAACTAACCCTAGTGGGCCACTAGCTCAAAAACCTTTGAGAGCCTTGTACTAAACAACAACATAATTTCATCAGCCTTTCTCCTTGCTTGCCAACTTAGAGAGAAGAGAGGGAGTGAGAGATTGAATTGTTCATTCTTGAATTGCTTGGAAAACTTGAAGAATTGCTTAGTAATGTGAAGTATAGATTACATATTTGAGCTCCTTTAGTCTTCTAATTCCAAGACTTAGGTAAGGATTTCATCTTCTCATTCTTGTGTTTGAGCTAATTCTTGCATGGTTCATGATAAAATTGTAGAGCTAAGTCCATGTTTTAGTTCATACATGGTGAATTGAAGTCATTTATGCATGCATTTTTGCATTGTTGAGTTTGTTGAGGTTGATTTCATGGTAAAATGGTACATGCATGTCCAATAAACCTTGTAATGGTCCATGGTTTTCAACTGT